CTCCACCTCGTCGCTCTCCTCCACTGGCTCCTCGTCGCTGCCCGAGGACTCGGAGGACGACCTGCTGAGCGACAGCGAGAGCCGGAGCCGCGGCAACGTGCAGCTGGAAGCCGGCGAGGACGTGGGTCAGGTACGGCCTCGGGGGCGGGGCCAGCGCGGGGCCCGGGGCCGCGCGCTGCGGACCCAGCTCCGAGCTCTCTGAGGTCCGACTCCTGCCCTCAGTCCCCTCCGCCGAGGGTCTTCTTCTCACTGCCCAGCGGGCCTAGGGGTCGGAGGGCGGGGCCGGGCGGACCTCTCCCCTCGGCAGTTTTTACCCGGGTCCCCCTGGAGGGTCGCGGCCCGCGCCCTGGGGCGTCTAAGAAGGCGAGTGAGGAGGAGCCTGCGCCCGGCCGAGGGGACCGGGTGCGGTGGGGAGCAGGGGGTCGTGACCTGCGGACTGCGAGGTGGGCTTGAGGATCGGAGGGGTTGGCACTGCCCCGCTAACTCTCGGGGAGAGAGGGGCGCGTGAGTCTCGCAATCCGGCCGCCCCCTCTCCCGCGCCGCGGCCCCACCCCCGCCGTTGCCACGGTTTCCCTCTCCTGAGTGGGAGTGGAGCCGCGCTCCAGGCTCAGCTCGGGAACCGCCGCCGTCTGCTCCCCGAGCCCGCACGAGGCGTGGACGCGGGGAAGGGAGGAGCGCAGGGCTGGGAGCCCTGGCAGGGAGCGGAACGCCGCCCTCCTCGGTTTACTGCAACTGATTAGGGCCGGGGGAGGGTAAACTGAGGCTGAAAGGGCGTGATCAGTTTGTTAATCTCCGACTCTGGTGTCGGAGGCCTGGTTTGACCCCCGAATAATGCAGGCCAGGGTGTGGCGAAGTCATTCCCGGTGCCTGCCTCTTAGGGGTGTGCCGCGCCCGGGAGAGCCGTCCCGTGCCCCTTGTTTAAACGGAGGCCAAATACTTTAAATAACTCCCCATGGCCAGTGCTAAGGAGTTGCTCTAGATCCACGTTATGCAAGTGCCCCTGGAGCTGAGGGAGAGGCGAACGAAAGGCGCCCCGCGGGCTCCG